AAGACCTAATGTGTACGAAAATGTAAAGAAATGGATATCGAGAATTTCATCATAGTGGCACTTTAACGGCTCGCAATTTACAACTGATTCATTCGGACTTGTGTGTATTGGTTTGCTTTTCGCTATGATATTGCCCTCACTTGGACATAATTTTTTTTAATGTATTGAAACTTATCGAGAGTCTTTCGCGGTCTAAGAATATTGTTTTGTCGGTTATCTGAGTTATCTTTAAAAAGGAATTGTCATTTCTAAGTTTATATTTCGGTTCACTACTTCCGTCAATGTTTTTTTTTTCCGTAATAAACAAATCTATGAAATCTGGTTTTGTTTTCAAGGCAGTTGCATGATATTAAAACTTCCTTTTTGTGGACCGCGTCAGATATAAGGAATATTTTTGTTTTTTTTTCTAGATCAATCAAGAAAATATCGGAATTTGCTTTTCTTTAGTTTCTTCAATAAAAGTGCAGGCTTTCGTAAAATGTACATTGTTTTATATCATTACGAAATATGTTTAAAATAATCATCACATGCAATACATGTCTGAGCTGAATTTACAGATTTTGTTACTAGATTGTTTTCCTGGCCTCCAAGATGAAAACCTATAAGTTCTCAGTTAGTTTTTTCACCAAAAAAAAAAACCCTTTCATTTTAAATTGTAGATCTACCTTCAAATTGGTACCCTTTGTGCTCTTTGCAGAATGTAAGCACTTTCACAACTGTAGAGGAAAGAGTGCGGCAGGCCAGTTCATTATTTTGTATTGTCCTTTCCCACACTAGTTTCCAGACATGTCAATATGTTTAATTAGCTCTATTTTCTTGTTGGTCATGCAATCCTTTTTTGTAGATTGATTCAGCGCTGACAGAAAAATCCGGGTGGTGAAAGATCAGGTCAGGGAAAACGAGCTCCACACCCGAGGGTGGAACTATCCCACTCCCCCTCGCCGCGGAGACTCAGGGGCAGCTAGTCGGGACGATGCGGTATTTTCTGGCGAAAGTTTACCACAAGAGCGGGAGAGCCCCTGGGCAATTACTCTTACCGAACCAGTTCCAGAAGCGTTCCAATTCCTTTCCGTTCTTGATGTAAATTTTCCCTCGACTTGCTGCCCCTGGGTCTCCGAGGATGTGGTGGAGCAAAAGACTGACTGAAGTAATGTTCAATTTCGTTATTTTTTTCAACAAACTTCCCATCTTCCAATTGCATTTCCCAGCTTTTATGAAAGGAAACAGAAAAAGTTCAGGCACGATTTCAGATTTAAGCTCTTAATTTCATTCTGGATCTATACTATTTTTGAAACCTTAATTTGTTACACATACTCAATCATTACGTAGTGAGTATTATCAGAAGCATATCACCTATATATGCTTCTGGTATTATACATACATTCATATAGTACTTCTTATAAGGTCGGCGCGAGCCTTCACGTTACATCGTGCTGTCATGAGTTTTGTTCTAATTAGCCACGCGGAAACAACCCTACCTGTTTAAATACGGTAATGAACAAACATTTTCAATTCAACCTGAAGATTTTTAACAACAAACTTTAATTATTGTTTACTTAAAAGGATTACTTTCCAAAAGGAAAGATTCATTTTGAGCTGATAAGAAACACGTCTTGATCTCACGAGTAACCCGGTCAGCAGATATGTCTGTCTCGGCGGTCGGTAATCCTAGGGGTTATGTTCCGGCGTGGAGTCCCGCGAGAAACAAAGCTCTTTAGGGGAGTACGTACACCCCCGGCAGATCCTCAAGTTTTTATAGGGTCCACCCAAGGTCCAACCCTTGACCTAGCCTTTAATATACCAAAGTAATCATTTTACATATCCTCCATAGTAGATGGTGCCCCTTTCATATACAGTAGAACCTCCACTAACTAACGGCCACCTCTCTGGCAACGGAGACTACTTTTTTGTGTCCAGGCGGACGGTCCGTACATTCACTTTCCACTGTCCTCTGTCCCCAAAGTGGCCGTTGTGGAGGAGGTTCGTCTGTACCTACAATACGCTTTTACCTAGTACCCTAAAAGAAAATCCTGCAGAAATATAGTTCTATCCAAAAATAAGTCCACCAAAAACATTTCTTCCCCTCAAAATCCCCAAAACGTTAACATCAAACCCCGAAAACGGCCTCCGTGCGTCATCGTCACCAATGTACCTGTGAGAGAAATTTTAGAGGACCCTTCTATAAATTCCTAAATGGTAGTTTTTCATACTCTTTTCTATACTAACCCTACCCTTGCATATACCTCCAGCGTGGAAAAGGACCCCTTCAGGACGGAGCTTCGGGACTACACCTCAAGGGTGCTTGAAGCTTGGTTTTACACTAACGCAAGCACAAGCTAGAGTCCTGGCTTACTTCACACAGCCTGACACAAGCGGCGCGCAAAGGACGCTAAATCGAATCCTGTATTTTAGTAAAGCACAACATGAGCTTGGGTTATTGATTTTAGCACCCTGCGAGTAGTATAGGAGAAACCAACTACTCACAGGGTGTCATTTTAGCTACTCCTGCAAATGTTTTACTCTGAGCTGAAATGCCGTTTCTTAACAGCAACAACAACAACAACAACAAGGTTTATTGACAATAGCGTAAAGGGCAAATCTTTAGTTACGCAATGTCATCTTTTAGGCTGAAAATATTCTTGTGAATTTATATTCTTAGATTATAGCGTATGACATATGTGTTTACTTACAAATTTTCAACGCACAAAATTATATTGTATTCAAAATCTCAGCCTCGGGTTTATTCTTGAAATCGTCTTAAAATTTCCCAAATTGCAGCCTCTTATAAAATATATTCTTGTAAAAAAGAGTGTAATACACTTCTTCATTTCTCTGTTTCGTACACCTTGAATTATGTCGCAATTTCGTGGAGATGATAGATATTACCATCTCATATCCAACAAGCGCGAGTGGAGTAATTGTTTTATTAAAAGCGCAACCAAGCCATAGAAAACTCAATTAAAGTGAAAATAAAAACGCCCCAAAAGTTACGCGTACGGTTACCATATTTGTAGAGCATGGTATAATGGTTCATATACCATGATGGCTAAGTCAATGAAAATTCTTGAATTGTATTATCCAATGATCCAGTTTTTCATACAGAGGAAACTCTCGTAAGAGGACATCCTCCGGACTCAAAAAACGCATCCGCAACTGGAGCTGCACGTTTACCAGAATGGTTCTCGTAAGCGGCGAGTAAAGGTGTAAGGGATATATGGCCGCTTATAGGCACTTACCAGCTAACACTTTGGGCGAGAGAAAATGGGAATGAAAAAAAAAAAAAAAAANTCATTCGAGTTTTTGCCAGTTTGAAACAATTTTAAAATCCGTTTATTTCGAACTCATTTTGCGCTATAAGCCAGCCAGCAATATAAAATCGACATTTTTGTTGTTGTTGTTGTTCTTATGCAATGCGGCGATATAATGGCGATAGCTGTTTACAGTACTCTATACTGGAGTACTATGATTAAAGAACAACATTTGCAACAAAATGCAGTGTATCTTTCAAATTCAGGCCCAATTCATTTCGGGTGCTCACGGGGGCTTAAAAAAAGGAAAAGTCTAAATTGTGGGCCCTCAAAGTGTCCGCGGCCGCTTACGGGAATGAGTAAATACAGACTTTGTCCGGGAGTTCAAACGGGGTTTTTTGAAGGCAGTAGTTAGTAGATCTAAGTAAGCTTCGACTGTAATTGGATATAAACCTTGCGCGTAGTAGAGCTAGCTTGCGTGCAGACCCCTTCTATTTCCTTTACGTTTCGCGTGAAAAAAAGGTAACGGGCCTGCCAGGAAAAAAAAAAAATAGAAAGACGGGAACGTCATCAGGATGATCGGGCCCAGGAGCCCATGGGTAATGGGGTCCTGTCGGGGCTCAACTGTATGTTTTTTTTTTTTTTNAAAAAAAAAAAAAACCACCGTCCATATGATTTTTTCTTATGTTCTACTGCCTTGTGCAATGCGGCGATATAATGGCGATAGCTGTTTACAGTACTCTATACTGAAGTATTGTAATTAAAGTACAACATTTGCAACAAAATGCAGTGATACAGTTTACAAATGTTTGTGGGTATCTTTCAAAGTCAGGCCTAATTCATTTCGGGATGATCGGGGCTCAACTGTATGTTTTTGCTTTTTTTACATTTGTCGTCAGGGAACCAGTCTCTTGTTTTAAACCAATCAGAATAAAGTACAGATTCCGAACTTTTTTGATGAAGACTCGGCAAATAAACTCTCTCCCTCACCACAACCCTCCCTCGGCCACTTCACTCAGCCAGCCAGGTTCCTTGTCGGCCCTTATAGTCGCGGTCAAACTCTTCCAGACGAAGCCTCTTCACAGGCCACAAATAAACGTATCAGGGATTATTGTTTTTTTTTCTCCTCTCTACCCCACCACCGTCGAGTGCCGTGCGGTGCGGCGAGGATGACCTCTCTCCATCTGCAAAATCTCTATCAACACTACCGCCTGTTAGCGAGACTTTTCAAAGATAATGATTGGAAGCTCTTTTAATACAAAGGAATACCAGACCTCACAACAACACAGACTCTACAAGTGAAAAGGAAATTTATTACGGAGTCACAGTTCAGCTTAGGCTCGTTCTTACTCTTCTCAACACAAACTCGATGGGTTTTTCGGTGAATTATGCCTCAGAAATCACAGTGGGTGATCACTTTTCAAGAACAAGTACTAAACCAAAACATGAACATTTCGCCAGGAAAAAATTAAAATGAAAATGTTTTTAATTTTTGATTTTTTCCCTCTGCTGGTAATACCAAGTTGGGACTCAATCCACTCTACGGACAGACACTGGTTAAGAGATTCTAAAGAACTTTTATATACTATAACAACATAATGATCAGAGCTGCTTGTAAAATTCCAGTGATGTGGCTAACACGTGGTAGATTGTTCTTAATTATTAGCATGGAAGTACTTGTAACCAGCAATGGCGACCACAACTGCGACAGCTGCTGCTGGTAGAAGAATGGAGTTCACCCTGTGGTAAAAAAAAGAAAGAAAATAGACTACATGTCTGAATTACAGTTAATGGTCTCCCCTAAAATCCCTGCACCTTACCAGCCACAGAGAAACAAAAGCACCGGAAAACATATGCTTCTACGCTCAAAGACAAGCTAGTGGTTAATTCGAGCAGCTATCCTAAATTGGTAACAAAGTGAAAATAAAATGCCTCGCCAGCCACCGAGATACAGTGGAACACAGCTCAGCTGTTTCTTCAGAAACAAATTATTGCTTGACCAGTTGAGCCAACGATCAACAGAGACTGTCTAAACAACTTGTGCACTGAATCAAAAGCTGGATTACATGTAAAATGAACAAGATGTTCTAGCAACTTGCCCTGGCAAAGTCAGTGCTGATCACATTTTATTTACAAGGGTAGAAAGATTCCCCACCTAACCATCACTTTGCTTACAATCTGTAAACTTGTTACTGAACACTGCTGTAAGTTCAATCAACAACAAAAAAAATTAGACAACTTTCCTTACGAAGAAATTCAGTGATTACAGTTTTGGAATTTGTTTATATACATGTAGATACAACATTTCAGGTCATGCTATTTAAGGTGATTCTGCTTTGTTGGTTATTGCCTTACACGACTACTGGTGCTAAGATGCTTCTGTCGTGTTGTTGAAAAATGTTTGGTTTTTCTGTCACTCTCCATAACACAACTTAAGATGTCACTGTCATGCTCTGCTGGTCACACAATCTGTGATTGTCATGCTCTGTCACACGAAACCAGCACAGTGATCACAGGTCACACAATTTCAGGTGATTAGGACTTAACTAATAAATATGTGTATCACAAATTATTTGACATGATCCTACAATGTTACATGTACATCGCAGAATGGTTAACATGGATTCCGCTCAAAGTTCGAGCAGTAAGTGCAAAAGTTATTTACTAAAAATCTACTCATAGCACGGTAACTTTTGGAATACTATTTAAAACAACTCACTTTAGTTCATTTCTCTAAGTGACCCCGCAATTAAATTCTCAAGCATTCTCGAAAAAGTTAATGTCAAACCTCGTAAGAATGCTTAAAACATGTGTTATGGTGTTTTTAACTAACGTGAAACATCTGTTTTAATTGAAATATGGATAATTTCAAGTTCAATTGTCTCTCACGGGGTCAGCTTCAGAATTAAAGTCTCAGTAAGTTCTTCTTAACTGTTTTCAAAATATTACCACGCCATGAGGTTTTTTTGGTAACTTAATTTTTGCCATTATTGCTCGAAAGTTCTGTGGAAATCATCGTAATATCTTACCAGCTAGATTTGTTTTCAGAATCAGACACAGTTTTCTTTTCTTTAGTCTGAATGAGCAAAGAGAGAGGAAAATGATATTTTATTAGATTTCAATAACCACATGTAACAGAGGAGTAATCCAAATAAACTGGACATTAAAGACATGCACAATCATCACAGCCATGTAGGACGAAACTTACTCTTAGGCAGCTGCAAAAATAAACTTTGAAAAATTTCATGCGTAAATGAGATTTGAACAAATGACCTCTGCGATACCAGTGGAGTGCTCTAACAGCCTATTGGGAGCTGGTGACACTGTGGATTCATAATATACTATATGTATACATGGTGAAGATAATTATTACACAAAACTGGATACTGTTATACAGCCAGTAGAGTTCTCTCACAACTGACACATGCTCTCTAAGCTTGTTTCTTTGTCATTTAACAAATGTACATGTACATGTACAGTAGACACATGTACATGTATCATGTATCATGTGTGTGAAATCTAGCTGTATAACACTACCCATTTAGCCCTCCTTATGTTGGTTTGTTTTATACGCAGGACATCATAGAATGATTCAGAATTCAGGTCAAAACAAAGAAATTAAACTAAGATGCTACTTTATTAGTGGTAATAGTTAAAGTTAATACTTCAAAATATCTACAGGAATTCAGTATAATCGAGCTGAAGCTAAATTTGAAATTTGTGTAATGCATACCTTCTCTTGAATCTTATCCTCCTGAAAGATAAATAAAATTGACAAAGTAATCATTGAGTCAATTGCAAGTATATTCTGCACAAGAGTAATCTCCTCTACATGCCTGAAAGGCAATGAAATTTGCCAAAGTGAGTAGGGGAGTGTTACATTCCATCCCTGCTGTGGTTTGCTCTTATTGTTCAATGTCACAACTCTGTACATGGTATGCCATGTATTTGCTACTTGTTNTCAAAACCAGTTCTAGCTTTGATGAGCAGACTTCTATGCCTACACTGGAATTCTGAGATGTTCATTGGACGCTGAAAAATTATTAATAATAAAATAATATGGTAATGAGTCACTTTGAACATCAGTGAAGTACACTGAGTCAATCTTATGTGAATGTATCGGTACATTATCTACTGCTTCTATAATACCTCCCAATGTTTGGCTGGCATAATGTGTAGTTCAAGAAAATATACATACCTCCCTCACAGAGGGGATGTTTTTCAAAGACCCCTGACCCCTCGGGAAATTCCAACTGAGCTTCATAAATTTCTTTACCTTTACCATTTTTTGGTCTTACGGTGTCCCCCCACCCTCAGGAAGGGGGAGGGGGGGAGGAGAGGAGTATGGAGATTTTACGGAACTGCACAATACAAATAGGAGCAATATCTTATCATCATCTCATTTTAACAGCCAGATTGTTCTAACTTGAACAAAACCTCACTCAGTCATTTTATTATTCTAGACAAATGCCTAAATCCCTTGACAAACCCAGGGTGCATTTCACGTATATCTCATGACACAGATTTGCCAAAGTTCTACACCCTCTGCCAAGGTTCAATCTCTACATGTAATTCTGTTCTCACAGATTTTCAATCTTCTCTTTTCATTCTAACTAAATTTGAGCCAATGAATTTCAGACTCTAAAAAGCTTGAAACTTTCATGCAAAAATAGTCCCTTGCAGTCATTGATTGTCAAATGATGTGGCCAAATAGAGTACCTGCATACCACCGTACATGAAGTACAAATTTTAGAGCCTTGGTCTTGCTCCAGTAAGCACCAAGAACCACAACAATTGTATGACATAACACCAGACAGTTTTAAAACCCATGCACAAGATCTTCAACATTACCCAGGTAAAATGCACCCTGGTTGTGAAACTGCTGTACTGTAGTTATACCTCTTAAACAAATTAGGTGTTCCAAAGTGAAACTAGGAACAGCAGCATTTCAAATACATGTACACAGGGTTCTCTCGAAAATTTGAAGCAGTCAGAGAAACATTTCAAGCAGCTGGCGACAATCTCTTTCCTTGCTGAGCTGACCTCAAAAAATGTATGTGTATTTTCCCTGAGTAGCCGGTGCGCCCAGGTCGAGTAGATGGCAATTTTCGCCAGTCACTGGAGCTTCTGGAGAACCCTGTGTACAGTGGAACCTTGAATTCACAAGCCTCTGTATCATGCTGTTGCCGACTGGTACAAGTACTCACTAAAAGTCTGCAACATTAGTTCTCTGTACTTATTTAAAACTGAGGTTAAATTTTTCTGTTATCTAATTTTCTTAGTTTCATTTTATCTTGTACATTTTAACTAGTTTTAGAAAACAGTCCTAAGAAAATATGTGCGCTGATTGGTTAAAAGTCGTGTTTCTATAACTCGATAGAAACACAGAACTAGCATGAGCTGTTGACGTAATAAAAGGCGTGTGCAAAGAGAATTTACACTTTGATAATCAAAGTTAACAAGTTGTTTTCCTTTTTTACATTGCAGTGTTTTCTAAAAGAAATAGGAAACATGTTCAACACTCATGAAAGTTTGGGAGAACTCGAAAAAGCCGTGGAAACACTCTTCTGTAGCTCGTGTTCACACAGCATTTCTCATTCTCCCAAACTTCCACTCGTGTTTCCATAACTCAATAGAAACCCGGTACATGTTTTCTTTTTCCTAAATATAGCTTAATACATTTTTTAAAGCAGTTATTTTAGCATTTTTACCCTTCATCTTATAGCTTTTATCTACTTATAGGTTAGTATATTTTACAACTAATTTTAGCTTTTTACTCTACATGTATAGTTTTATTTTATTATATGCAGGGCTCCATTGAAAAGCACCCAGGTGAAAATATGGAATCTCTGTTTAAATACTGTTATTGTTATTCTTATTATTGTTATAAATTGACAATTGCGTTACAACTGCAACAACTTTTCATTAAAAGAAATGTTGCACATTATAACATACCTACATGCTGAAATATATGTAGAGGATAACAACTACAGAGACTTTATTTGTTGGATGGGTGTAGTATACCCTTAGACTCAGATCGGAAACTATCTAGGCTTATATTGAAGACTTGTATTGTTCTAATACACCTGCATTACGCTAACGCCGATTTGAGCTTAAGTTAATTTGGGATACGACCAAAGTTCAAAGAGCCTTTATATGAAGGTTATATTCGTTCCGAAGTCTGTTAAAAGGATCCTTCTTGGGTGAATCTTAATGCATTACAAGAAGTCTATACTTATGTTCCACATTCTTCTCATACCGGTGTAACTACGGTTGAAGTTCATAATTTCTGCATTACATTTACACGAGCATGCACATGCACACGATATCGCTTGGTACGGTATTACATCACTTCATCAGGACGGCAGTCTTAGCTTGCTGTTCCTGGAATGGAACTTCACTTACCTCATCTAAGAATTTCGTGACATCGAATACTTTGTTATGGATAACTAGCCACGACGATCCCGCCACATTATGCGATTTAACCTCTTCTAAAGTAATCTTTTTCACCTCCTCTGCCATATTGCTATATCAAATGAGAGAAACCGTCTTCTAGAACGTAAAGTTACGCATGCGTGAAGTCTAGCATCCAGACTCTTTTCTAGCATCCTCGTCCCCCAAAGGGGCGTGGCTTCAGTGTTAATTTATTGCTGGTTAACACATTACAAATAAAACTAGTAACCATTTAACCATTCAACAAATTAAGTCAAGAATCTGGGACATAATGGATGATTGATATATTAAAAACTTCACCGATATTTAAATTTGTGCGGGTTTTCATTCGCGCGTTATTCGGAAAAATATTTCACCAAAATTTATGGAGCTTTGTATGAAGGCACCAACATGGCGGCCGTAAAGTAACAGGTTTGCCATTGAAAGGAAAAACTATTACTCTAGAGGTCTGACACATTGAAAGTAATAACTCTTCTAGTGTAAGAACTGTTCAGTTAGCGAAACCTCGAGCGATAACTCCTCTTTTGACCTACCCGAGAGCCTCCTAGCTCGGGCGCAATTTTAATGTCACGCAACGCATAAACCTCCCCAGGAACCCTGTCGAGCATAATTGTTGTTACTTCGTAGATGTCAACTTCAGAGGGATTGGTTATTTTTAATTTTGGAAAACGCTGACGTCACATGGAAACCGGCAATAGCTTAAGTTTCGCGAGATCAAATTTTCTGCGGTAAAAGAGATCTAAGGATTTATCTTCAGTAAACCAAAGCAAGGTAACTGTCTTAAAAGAAATAGATTCCTTGAAAAATCACATTCAGGTCACGGGCAGCTGAAAGTCTTGGTATATGGTAGCTTCCTATTTCTGGTTAGCGGGGAATACTTGACGCGCGACTCGTGACTTGGCAAAAAAAAAACCTTCCTCGGGAATCGAGCCGTTATGCGCGAATTATTAGTTTTTTTTGAGACTTGAGAAGCATGTTCAGCTTATTCTAAGGATCAAGGACCGTGATTCGTGATTCTGGTGAGAAATGTCGTGAAAAACAGAGTTTAGAAACAGCATTTTACTTTAACCGCATGTCTTTTGGAAAGACTGTACAGCTTTGGATTCATTTTTTCTAGCCCACTGGAGCCTATCATCTCTTTTCGGAAACAACCGGAGCCATGAATGACATATCGTGTTTGACTTGACGGAACAGCTCATACTTTGCTGTCACAAAAAGAAATAAATTGCCTTAGTTCTAGACTGCTAGGCTAGGAAAATGCCACGCAAATTAACAGACCAGTGTCGAGTTATTTTCTGTAGTAATATAAAATAAAATAGTTGATTCGTGAAATTGTCAGGCAAACTTAAAAGCGACCCCATGATTGAAGGAAGCGTGATCCGCGCTCCCCCGCCCCCCCCCCCTCCTCCCCAATAACTTCCCATTTACCACTTTGATCGTTCCAACAACGGTCAAAAACAGGAGAAAATGATCAAGAAGAGAGGCTGGCAATTTCATAACGTAGCTTTTCTGAACACACCTGTTCTCGACCCAGGAGGCAATGTCGCTCACCTGCTAAAAAGATTCGAGGGTTATGGAGACGAGAATAATACGCGCTCGGGTCAGGTTGCCAAGGATTCGATGTTGGAAAGGACCCCCGGAAGAGAGAGTAACGGGGTAATCAACAAGATACGCAGTATTGGGACCAGTTTTTCTATAACTTTATACTATGACTTTCCTCTCGACCCCGGACCGAGCGGTCCGGGTTCGAGCCCTGGCCGGGGACGTTGTGTTGTGTTCTTGGGCAAGACACTTTACTCTCACGGTGCCTCTCTCCACCCAGGTGTATTA